TGCAACGGCCTGTAATTGTGACCATGATTTGTGACCAAATACCCATTTGGGAGACAGGATTTGGTTAATGACCATGTGATTTGCTTAACAATTGCAGTGATTCGCGTAATGACTGCTGTAACAATTATTGTAACATAGAGTCCGACCACAATGACTCATGATGGAAACTCTGGCCCCAATTGTGATTGTAAGAACCACCTGTTGTAAGGACTACTGCTGTTTGAGAAAGGATTTTTGTGATTGTGTAAAAAGTATAGGGATAGATTTTCTTTCAAAAAAATTTCAATTGGGACTGAAATCCCAATTGAATAGGGAATAGGGAACTAGTGGTGTACTATATGATTTAAATAATAAAGTAGATGTACTTTGGATATGCATAGAACATCCTGAAAGGAACCAGATTTTATTTTGCTCAGTGATTAATAATTGTAACTGTAAGCACATGTGACTTATATATGTATTCTCTTCCTTTGTCACTACCTTTTCATTTGTTTTTGTTTGTTTGTTCCCCCTTTATTATTACCACTGTTGTACCGTGTTTCCCCGAAAATACAACAGGGTCTTCTTTTCTTTTTACCTACAAAATATGGCTTGGGCCTTATTATGAGGGGAGGGTTTATTGTTTTGGGGTTGCTGAGCGACTGCTCTCTTGCGAGCGGGCTCCCAAAGAGCCGGGCACAGCCTTATGGGCGAATGGCTGTGTTACACTGTCGCAGCAGCACAACACAACAGCCATGAAGCGACCATGCTCATGAGCAGCCACCCGGCAAATCCCCCTTGCAGCCGGGCACAGCACCATTCACTGACCTAGGGGTATCGCCAAGCCGAGTGAGCGCCTGATCGCTGCCACCCAGCTCCCGCAGCTTAGCGCCTTCCAAATGCCAGTGAATGGCGCTCTGCACGGCTGGAGAGGGGGGTTGCGTGAGCAGCTGTTCCACTCTTACCCACCTCCCAGATTCACGATGCATGGCCCAGCTCTCATTACAGAGCCAGAGCACCTCCGCCGCAGCCGCCACTGCCGCCATCCCAGCCTGGCTTTTTCTGTGGCTTCCAACCCGAGTCTTTCAGCAGTGGCCGCTCTGGGCGCACGCTCTATAGTTGTACACTCTGCGACGGTGGAGGTGCCATGGCTCCGTAATGAGAGTTGGGCCATGCATCCTGAGGCTGGGAGGCGGATAAGCAAGAGTGGAACAGCCGCTCGCGCAACCCCCCTCTCCAGCTGTGCAGAGCGCCATTCACTGGCATTTGGAACGTGCCAAGCCGCGGGAGCTGGGCGCCAGCGAACAGGTGCTCACTTGGCTTGGCGATACCCCTAGGTCAGTGAATGGTGCTGTCCCCGGCTGCAAAGTGGGTTTGCCAAGTGGCTGCTCATGAGTGTGGTTGCTTCATGGCTGTGCCTGGCTCTTTGGGAGCCCGCTTGCAAGAGAACAGCCACCCGGTAACCCCCCCTCTTCAACTGGGCCCAGCACTGCTCACCAACCTAGCGGTATCCCGAAGGCACCAAGCAACGCGATCACTTTTGCCTCCCCCCAGGTTCCCGCGGCTTGGCACCTTTGGGATACCGCTAGGTTGGTGAGCGGCACTCTGCCTGGCCAGAGGTGGGGGGGTTGTCCAGGGGGCTTATATACGGGGGTGGTTGGTTATATTTTTGCCCACCAGAAAAATGTGGCATGGCTGTATTATGAGGACATGTCGTATTTTCAGGGAAACACAGTAGTATTTAGGTTGTAAACTGTGAGCCGAAACTGACTGCTTCAAAGAAAATTTTATTATTCCTATCTTAAAGCAAATTAATCCAAAATCTAAAATTAATAAAACAGAATTAGTAGTCTAAATCCCAAGTGGCAGATTTATCATGTTTGAATCTTTTGTTGCTGCATTTTCACTATAGCCACACAAAATTTGACATTACTACAGTGGGAGTCTAAAAGAACAAAATGAGTGTAATATATTACTATTATTTCTGGAAGATGTCACAAAAAGTAGCATGTAAAAAAATGCAGGAAACATAGTTTGGACAGGTGGGCAGTTTCCTTCCATAGGTGGGGATTGGGTAAATCCTCCCTGTAATAGAACGGATTGTAGTATCTTGTGCCTAATTTTTAAAAAACATCTTCCATAACCTTGGGAAGGTTAAAATGTATAAATAGCCTGCAATTTTTTTGCAATCAGGACTTCTCTGTTCCTGGTCTTTTTTGCCTTCTCAGAGCTGAATGATTGAAGCAAATGTGTGTGACTTATTACTGTTTAAATTTTAGCTATTTGGGTATCTCTTTGACTGTATTTGACAGGACATTATAAAG